TTTGTAGTTGATTTTGAACCTTCGGTAGCGAATCATCTGTCGTTTCGAAAATACGCTCGAGCGATTCTATCGGTATAATTGTGATATGCGGAGTGGAGGTTGTCGGATGTATTAGGTGTACAACTTTGTTTCCGCTGTTTTTCTATAGATGGCTTTAGCGGTAAGCGGTGGTCGAAATAAATAGATCATAGACGTCATACAATGAACTTGGGCATCTGTCAACATAACCCCATAGAAACATTAGTCGAAACGATTTGCGAATCTTAAAGATTGTACAAATTTAACGTTCGACGTGCTGAGCGGCGATGTCATCGGCCTTGTGAAGAATGCATTATCTCTTTGCGTGGACTCCGCTCCGTTCAATAAGAGTATCATCACGCTCGCGTTATCGTTGTCGCTGTCACACGTACAATCTGACGGTGATATCCTCTCAAAAATCGAGTAATCATCCGTTTTGACGATGCATATCGTTAGATCAGTAATGCTCCATGCGGTAATCGGCAGGGAAATGATCTGTGTGGGTCTTTCTGATATCTTATATCCCGGCACACTCGGCGAAAATTCGTGTATCGTATGCACACTTTTGCAATTGCTGTACATGTTCGCAGTTACACTCTACGCGAATAACGTTTATGTTCATTATGTTAATCAACACGTCTGATTCGTGTTATCTTCGTGGTTGCGCTTTGACGAGAATCCCAGCAGCGATTTATAATGCTGTTGAATAATGCTTGTTTGCTAAAGTTTATTCTGTAGGTGCATCTAATCTCACATGGCGAGGAAGTAGTTTGCTGCGAGGAGACTGCTCTTCCCACTCAATGTAAGTGTCAGTGACATGACGGATAAAGCGTTCGACCAATACTGAGACTTCACGGCACCTCGTCGAGCTTTTTAAATTCACGAGTGTTCATAAAAACCACATCTGTCCACAAAAGCTCTGATCGTACGTCTAATAAGAAGTGCGATTGTACTTCATTGTCGTAACATCGTTCTCGAAATATCATACCAGTTCTTCGGGCGGTCAAAGATTATTAAAATTGTCAAAGTACATGATTGCGGTTGTTCTTCTTCGCATACGCTACCCAGTGAGTAACGGATCCCATTGCATTGTTCAAATTCATGATATTCATGCTTTCGTTTCAAAGCGTGCCGCTCGTCGTGTGTACACACGAAAACGCTGCTACACTGTGTAGGGACTGCGATACAGTCCACGTCCGTATTTGTGCGGAGCAAGCTACAGTCTGTGGCCTTTCATCGCGAGATTGACGTTGCAGCTCCTCGAGTTGACATCGTGCGGCTTTGCTATCGTTTACTGCTTATGTCACGCTGGCCACTACGCCAATCAAAGACTCAAGCGCGCCGAACGTTGGCAGAAACAGTAATATGCTACTTTGCTATCGGTAATATCCGCTTTTTTATTGTTTTTTTCCTCATCGTCCGATTTTATGCCGATCTTGATCTTGGTTTTCATCGCTGTCCAGAAAGTAGCAGCGATGGCTTTCTCACTCAGAGCTGAACACCTCTTGTGGCGCGAGAGCTTTATCGGCGAGCACCTTGTCCACCGCATGTTTATCGGTGAGATCATTGCTCCGAGAATACGCAATATCATGTTCGGCACGCCGCGTTTAGCGAATTTATGCCTGTATCACGACTAATCGCTTCGTAAGCCGAATGCCCTAATTGCAAAACTGGGGTAGCCCAGGATAATGCGAAAGGAAGCTTTTATCACTTGATTCAGGAGACTACCTCGCGACGCCGACATTCATTACAGTCCTTTATCTCTGGCGTTGGACCGTCGATATGCGTCCTCCGCCACAGCTGATTATAGTGCTCATCGCGACAATAAGTTCGATCTTTGGATCCACTTTCATGTTTTCTGGGAGCTTGTCCCATACACAGTCGATATAACCGTACATGCGTAAGAATTCGATTTCGTTATATATTGCAACTACTCGCTCAAATCCTGAATGTCGAAAGCATGACACAGCGCGAGATATATATTTTGCACGACTAGCTGATTCGCGCACGTTTAAATAGGCGGTCGAGAGCGCACAATCTGTTGTGTGAGCATGAAATTCATACCCACTGACGATACGCGTCACGAAGTGTTGTAACGCGAAATCGTGAATGATGGGAGGCAGCATGGAAAAGCGCAAGCACGGCGAAATGCTGTTAAATGTGATTATTTGCGACCCGTCGAATTATAATAAAATCAACGTTCTCATAAGCTTGCTCGAGAGCCCGAATAGCGTACGTTTCGACAACGTGTACGTCTATTCGCTGCACAGTTAAAATATCAATATTTCGAAAATTTATTTTCGTACGTCAAATCAGCTATATTACATTCTCCAACAACAGCGATGTCGTCCCACCGAGCGAAGCGTGACTAAATTCTATTTATATCTTTGATGACATAGTATGTAACAAGTAGCGGTGAGAGAATACTTCTTGATGGATCGCCACACGAATGTTGGCTGCTTCTATCTCTGTCAAACGTATGCGAGGATATCTAAATATCTGTTACGCTACAACGCAAATCTCTTCGAACAGGATGGTATCAACTTAAAACAACAACGTTTACAACAATCACGTGAATACTGACAGGTTGTACGATGAAGTTTGTGTCGCGAATGTTGGCAATAAAATTATGGACTTCTAGTGACAGACAAGTGCGTTTACAAATGGAAGATACAGAAAAGAATTTATCGAGGTCGCAATACGCCTTGACATGTCAGTCGTTATCGATATTTCGCCAGAGACGAATATGGCAAATGTGCGTGAGTGTGAAAAAATCGCGAGGGAGATCGAGAAGACAAGCCAGTCGATTCACAAGAAACTTCAAGCTCTGAAGATTGGTAGAATCGAGAAGGATATCGCATTGGACAAACATTTTAAACTTCTCAAGTCGTTGCAACTTTTCATCGACAACTCCGGCGTGCGCACATGAAAGGAAGAGTCACGCGATGATAACGCAGCGTTTGTCCCTAATCATGAGAGGAAAGAGAGGGGAGAAAGAAGAGAGAGAAGATGCGAGTGAGACGTTCGAGCGTTCCGCGACTCTGTGTAAATTCAATAATCGATTGTACGATACATCATATATATATTAGGTATATATTAGGTGTACAACTTTGCTTCCGCCGTTTTTTTCCGAAATTTGAGGCTTTAATGTAAAAAACTGGTTATACATTTATGATTCAAAGTATTGTCCATCGCTGGCCACTACTTTCTCCCATCTTTCGGGTAGCATACGAATCCCGCGTCGAAAAACTGGTCATCTTTTGAGGCCACGAATCGATCCAATTTTTTACTTCTTCATAAGACCGGAAGTGCTGGTAAGCCAGGCCGTGTGCCATTGATCGAAACAAGTGATAGTCAGAGGGAGCTACGTCTGAAGAATACGGCGGGTGGAGTAAGACTTCCCATTTCAACGTTTCCAAGTATGTCTTGACCACTTTCGCAACATGGGGTCGAGCATTGTCATGCTGCAAAATCACTTTATCGTGTCTCTCGTTATATTGCGTCTTTCAATGCTCAAACGCATCAATTGCGTTCGATACCGATCGCCTGTGATTGTTTCAGTCGGTTTTAACAGTTCATAATACACTACGCCGAGCTGGTCCCACCAAATACAGAGCATGACCTTGGA